GTTTTTTGTAGAGTCTAATTTTGTGTGTTGATCTGGATGATGACCCAACCTAAAATAATGTTGCGTGGTTTTTAATGAAAAATTTTTGAGGCTTAGTCTATGGAGCGAAGGCTTGGGCCGATTGTTTTTTTGGGCCTATTTTGTAGCTCAGTGCCAACCATATAAAACCTATTTTTTTGGGTGATTAGGGTTGATTGACACTATACGACCACTCTATATTTCCTCTTGATAATAGTGAAATCCTTGCAGCTTCGTGGATATAGGTAAATTGTTGAACCATGAAAATACTATATTTTGTGTGATTATTTTTTTTTTTTTTAGCGTGTGTTTTCTCTATTTTGTTTCTCACAAGTTTGAAAATTTCGTGTAAATTTCCTAACATAAGGCCCTGCCTTGGACCACATGTATGTACCCTAGCTTTTTTGGCCCACGCCCACAAGGATCATTCTGCTTAATATGACTTACTTCATAAATTTAAAAAACATTTACATACTTAAAAGCTTCAAAATAGTATAACCAAAACACAAATATATAATATACTTGTTTATAAGTGAAAATTGGAAGTGAGTCCTCTTAGATGTACTTGTTTGGAGATAAGTCCTACAAGAAAATTTATAAGGAGTAAAGTCCATGTTTAAAATTATATGTAATAATTTAAGTCCACTTCTTCTTTTTTTTTTATCTCAAAAATACCCTTCCTTAAAAGGAAGTTAATCTTTTTTCTCTCATATCTATCTATATCCATATATAGGTTAAGAGTTTGACTAACATTAAAAAATTTTCTCTCTCTTATCTATCTATATCCATATATAGGTTAGGTATATATATATTATTGTTTTTGTTATGTATGTTACTGTTTATGTTATTATTATTTTGAGCATGTTACTGTTTTTATTGAGCATATTACTACTATTATTTTTTAAAATATTAATATTCAATTTTACTATTTTTTGTATTTGAATGGTACTATTTTTTACGTTTGAATTTGAGAGAAATAATTATTGTTAACTAAGTTAAAATTTTTGTTAAGCATGTTAAAATTTTTGTTAAGCATGTTACTATTTTTGTTGAACATGTTAATGTTGTTATTTTTTTAAAATATTAATATTGAATATTTTAACTTTTTTATATTTAAATGTTACTATTATTTTTGTGTTTAAATGTATTATTTTTTGTATCCAAATGATAACTTTTTTTGTATTTGAATGTTTATATTTTTTATTTTTAATATATATATATATATATATATATATATATATATAAGAGAGAGAGAAAAAAAAATTTAATATTAGTCAAACTCTTAGCCTATATATGGATATAGATAGATATGAGAGAAAAAAAATTTTAATGTTAGTCAAACTCTTAAGATTTAGGAGTTTTAATTTTTAATTTTATTTCACTTCAAAATGAAAGGGATAATATAGTAAAATTGACAAAAAACGGATTTCGTAACAAATAGGTTTCCTTGATGGACTTAAGTCCAAATAAATTCATATAGGAGGACTGGCCTCCAAATTTTCCTATTTATAAATAGTGTTCTAGGTGATGGAGGCAGATTCTAAAGCCCAAAGCCTATATCGTTATTCCATTTTTATTCATTTTTACTAAAATATGTAGCAACCACGTGAATCTCGTTTTTTTCATGATAAAAATTTAATTTTAGTAAAAAAATATATATAGAAGGTGATCTGAATTAGTGGACGATCATCAACAATTGAAAAAAAGAATTAATGCCAAGAAAGCATGACTTATGAGAAGAAGACCATATACTTTGTTGAATACATAAGGAAATGCAAAATACCCAAGTTGGTATAATTTTAAGAAATAAAATTTTCATTGATTTTTTGTCATCTACAAAGCTAAACTTTAATAAAATATATAAGGTGGTATTTTAAGGGATGGCAACTCTAACCCGTTGATAAGAACCCGACACGAACTCGACATGACACGATTATAAAATTGATACGATTATTAAATATGCAAAATAAATGGTCTACATTAATGTTTGATATTCAGAACACACAAAATATATTTGTTTTCGTAGATCTTGACATAAACAAGACACGACATGAAAATGTACAACATGCTAGTCACACAACATGACGTGAATTGACACCCTTTATTTTTCATTTTTTCATATATGATCTATATCTATATTATTTCTAAATGTCAAGATATATGTAAAACTTTTGAATGACTAAATTAGACTTAACAAACTAAAGAATGACAATATTGTCTTTTTCAATTAATAAGTTCGTTAACATTATTATAATTGTGTAAGTTACCATTTTCTCTTTTAGGAGACTCTTGCAATTCTTAACGCTTCCCTTTTTTAATCCATATATCACTCGAAAATCTCAAAACAAAAGACAATGGCAGATGCTACTTTTGCTTAATGGAAGATATTCCACCATTGTTTAGTAAAAAGAGGTTGAACGTTGCTTCTAGAACAAAATAAGCAGATGATGGTTGCGGGTCAATTAATTGCAAAAAAAGACTCGGGGACAAAACAAAACCATTGTTTAGAAAAATTTAAGAATGTTTCATATCGATTTGGATTTTGTTTTATTATAATGATCTTATGTTTTGTTTCTGGATTGATATTCTCTTATAGGTTAGCTTTGATTTGTCTTAGGTGTTTTGGCTTACATGGGTTCTTTGATCATCATAAGCTTCAACAACTTCAAGATGTGATGAACCCAGATTTCTCAGTTAAAGTAGTGTCTTTTTCCCAATATTCTGAAAAGCTTCTCAATGATCTAACCAGAGAACTAAGGGTCCTAGTCTCTCTCTTTCTCTCATTATGCTTTTTGTTTTCTTCTTTGGTTTATCTTTTAGTGTTTGTCGAGAGTACAAGAATTTGAGGATTATAAAAGGTTGATGCTGAAGTTCACCAGTTGAAAGTTTGTTGCTCCAGGTATTACTTTTTTTTTGTACATCCGTTTTATACAAAGCATACATTATGTACAAAATAGAGAAGCCAGATCACCCTACTTGCATAGAGTTTTGAAAACCGGCTTTTACGGGGTATAAAAGCAGGTTGTGACATTAACATGAGTCCACCAATTTTATGTTATGGCTTTTACAATCAATGCAATATGTTCAAATTTATGATGGAAGGATATGGATATGGAATTCAGGTAAGAAGAAACAATAAAATTTGAGAAAGTAGAATATAAATTTGACCAAGATACCTCTATAATAAAACATAATTTATATTTTTAATATTACACACCAATGTAATAATTAGATATTTCGGTAATTCTTTATCATTGATAAGTAAAATTAGCATTTTTTTTACTTTCAAAAATTTTATATCGCCTCATTGTGGTATATTTTCAAAGTGGAAGTGACTAAGTAAATAAATTTTTACTTCATTGTTTTAATTAGAAGTATTTGTTGCTAAAATTATAGTATAATAAATTCATTTATACTATTTTGACTTGTAATTGTAGATAATGAAAACATCCATGTGTTTCTGACGTTGAATGATTTTCTGTTGATGTATTGTATTATATGTAAATTTGAAAGGAGATGATAAAGATTAAATTTAAAAATTATGCATATTACTCTTATATTAAAGTGTCCGCTAAGTATCAATTTATTTTGTCATTACGAATTCTCAAGTATACAAAATGTATCGTATCCGTGTTTTATAGGTTCAAAACTATGTGCTTGTGCATGTACAAATTTTGGTGCTTGGTAATGCCATTTAATTTTGTAGGTTAAGTTCATTCTTCTTGGAGATATGCACAAAAGCATATGCATACTTTCTTAGTTGGAGGGAACAGGGGGGCTCAATTTAGTTCATTTGCTAAGGATAGCTCACTTGATTGCTTAACAATACAATTTATAAATGATGGAAGCACACTCTATATGATAATTTCTGTTGATCAAAGTAATTCCGAGGTTGGGATCTTTCGTATGTATGTGGCTTTCATACCCATATTTTTCCAAAGAATTTACTAATTTCCAAGGGTAGAAAATCAATCAAGAATTTTTGAGGTAAAAATTCTTTCTAAATATATTTTTCTAGTTGAGTTAGAGATGGATTTTTTGAACATCTTTTCCCTTTGCCTTCTCTGATTGAAAACCACAAGCGGTAGTATGCGGCGGTGAATGCAAATTTCAATGAATCACTCTTTTGTTGCATATCAACTATGAATATTTTATAACTTTTTAAATCAGTGATTTGACGAAGTCATTATAAATGGATTAAGTAATTGAATAATCATAAAATTAGTACCAAAGAAAAAAAAAGATATGAACACAGATTCTTCCGATCATCATCTGGTTGGTGCTTAGTGCATTAAATTTTTTAAGAAATGGCCAGACAAACTGGAATTAACGAGTTAATATATCAAGTACACGTAGTCCTAATTAATTGGCGTTTACACTTGCCCAAAAATTGTTAAGCAAATTGTTATTTTGATGAAAGGAATAAAACATTTAAATTTGTTTGCCTTTTGTGTGGGGTTGTTAGAGATTCTTAAATTGAACAACATGAGTGTATATTGACTCAAAGATAGCTCTGTTTCAATGACTATATATGTCATTGGTTCACAATGTCTCTTGTGAGAATGCTACAAACTTAGTATATACCTCATATACGGAGCTTTTGTCGTAATTATTTTTTATTATGTGGATAAACATGTGTATGGGTTCATTAGCATGTTACAAACTTCATCTATATTGTTATACACGAGGATAAAATAACTTTATTTTAATCTATAATTTTTGCGATTTTCTTGTAAAACTTTATTATTAACTGATTATAATTACTGATTTTTACTAAAATGTGCATTTCGGGAAAGTGGTGTGGGGCTTCAATTTACAATATTCGATATGTAAAATGATCCACGTGTGTGTATCAACTAGTTTATTAAAATGAGAATACTATTTATTTTATTTATACTATATGGGATTTTTAGGATTTATGCTCAAATGCCACTTTGAATTATGGTGAGACCGCCAACATAATATCACGGCTCCACCTCGCCCCTACCTTTATATATGCATACGCTCCTCCTCCAACCCTAACCCTTCCACCACTCGCTCTGCCTCTCCTAAAACCCTAGCCTCTCTATCTCTCTCATCAAACAATGGAGTTTTGGGGTAATACTCAAGATTTCTCCACTACCTCTCTGTTTTAGTGTATTTTTCTTATTTTGTGCGTGTACTGTGTTACAACGCCGTTCTTTCATTTCTTGATGTTACAGTGTTAATGATTAGTGGTTTGATTTTGATTCGGCTTTTAGTGTTCATATGTTACAAATCTACATACATATACATATATATTATTTGTATATTTATTTGTTTGTAGTTATTTTTTGAGGTCTGGCTAGAGTTTGAGGAGGATGTGATATCTAATAAGTAGTCACTCGTTAAGTATATTTGCTTAATGGGCCTGAGAAATCGATGATGACTGGAATTTTAAATGATTGTTCAGATGAATTTTGAGATGAAGATGATGCTTATAATGTCATCCATCATATGCCATTTGTGTGATAGAAAGCGACATCAATATCAATATGAGAAATCTAGTCTTGAAAGTTCTTCACTTTTACGTTAAGAGTTTCTGAGAAATATATATATGGATTGTTAACACACATGTATCAGTAATGACTGGTAAACGTTATTCACTTTTGCTGTTGTTTCTGTTCTTTTATTTCAGTTTGTGTCGTGGTACCTATTTTAAGTTGATATCTTCCGAGTTTACGTTGTTGAAACTTGAATCTCTCTTAACATGTTATGTCCAGGTGCTGAGGTCAAAAGTGGTCAGCAACTTCCGGTAGAGGCCGGGGAAGGGATAGTTTTGCATCTTTCGCAGGTATAGTAAAGGGCCTATAACTTCCTTTGAAGAAATTTATTTATTTCTTACGCAATGTATACTTATGACTGTGGTGAACTATATTTATGATGCACTCTCCTGTAGGCATCTCTTGGGGAGGTCAAGGGAACGAAAGGAAATGAATCTGTTAGCCTCTTTGTGAATGTTGATGGCAAGAAGCTTGTTCTCGGAACACTTTTTTCGGACAAGTTACCTCAGCAGCAATTTGACTTGGTTTTTGATAGAGATTTTGAGCTATCCCACAACTGGAAAAATGGGAGTGTCTACTTTTATGGATATAAACTTAACAATGCTGTTGATGAATATCCTTTATGTTTCTGTTTTTCATCTCTGTCTTTTGTTTGTGTTCTATATGTTACCACTTCTTTTCCCCCCTGGTCTTTACTGGCGTACAAATTAGTTGTTGTTTACTTATGTTTGCTGTGGTCTTCCTTGACTTCCTTCCTTTTGGAATGTCACTTCTGAGGATGATGACAGTTTTGGTAAGTTTGTAAGCCTTTAATTCTTTGAATTCTTTTTGTGACATCTTGTTATTTGCCAGTGCGCTGAAATTACCCTATGTTACTCCCAGAGTCTGATTCTGAAGATGAGCTTCCTCTCCCTGTTGCAAACAATGGTATAATTTGTACAGTTTCTTTTTCTTTCTTATCTGTATAAATTTATTGCATTATATTCTCCGAATTTCTTGAACTCTGATTCATATTTTCATATTTGACTTCTTAGGAAAGCCTGAGGCTCCGGTTAAGCAAAACAAACCTAACGCAACTGAGAAGGCTAATGCTGTGAAGGATTCTGCTGCTGGTAAGCAGAAGGTGAAGATTGTGGAGCCAAATAAATTTGTGAAACCCGAGGAAGATGATGATAGTAGTGATGAGGATGCCTCGATGGATGATTTGGGATCGGATGAGGTACATTCTATCCACAGTTTTTTACCTTTCTGTTTTGTCTTTGCTTAGCATTTTACTTGAGAGTTTTGCATAATTGCATCTGGAATAAGCATTTGACAGTTGTTTGAGCCTCTTATGGTTTTTACTTCAAGAAGTGGACACTCTGAATTTGTGAAGTTACTAGTGTGATTGTGTTATTCTTTTTATCTGACCTGAAATGTTCTTTTTGGGTGATGTACTTCTTATAAGATGTTAATGTGAGTCATACAAATGAAGGAAGTTAATTGTAATTTGTAAAGTTATTAGTGATTAGGATTGCCCACTTGGGCTTGTTTTTACCACCTAAATCCACCATCTTCATTTGGTGATGTTTGAAATTGGTTAACCCCTATTTGTCATAGTTTTGTATTGCATAGGATGGAGAAAATAATTAATTCTTTTTACTGCTAGTATATGAAAAGTGTTTTATGCCAACACATTTACGATTCTACCTAAGATTGTGGTCTAAAATATCTTGTTCATCATCTGGATTTGGAAAACCCCTTATTAGTCTCTGGTAGGTGCGTCTTCTGAACACCCCCCTCCCCCCTCCCAAAATAAAAAAAACAATTTTTTTTCCCAGCTCTTTCCATGACGGTGCCTGTGAAGTACTTGAATTTAACTCACTTTTCTGGAAATGATTTAGTGCTGGTAAGGATTATCAGGAAACATGTTTATAGCAGCAGGTCCATGAATTATTTTTTAGTAGTTATTATTTTTGCTGTCATATTGGTTAATGTATGTGATTTGTGTGCCAAAATGGGGGGAATTGAAATGAATTATTTAAATATTTTGTTCCCTAAATGATCTAAAACCATGATGACACTTGTCATATTCTGTTAAATGCCCAGTGAAATTGGAAAGAAATGCTTTTTGCATTTAGGTTGTGAAGTTGTAAAATTTAATTCTAGTTGGATTTGTGGTGCTTGATGGAACTGCAAGATATGCTATTTGACATAACCCCTTGTCTAAAAGTAGCTAATTGTCTGGTGGTCTTTGGTTCAGGATGATGAGAGTGACTCTGAGGGTGAAGATGAAAGCGATGAAGAGGATGAGGAGACACCAAAAAAGGTAAGTGTGACCGTGCAACATCTGTCTTCTAACCTTTTGCATTTCATTGGGCATGGGTATGTTGATACTTCTCTACACTTTGTCATGGTTAAGTTATATTTGTTTCTTCTGAAGGTTGAACTTGGCAAGAAGAGAACTGCAGAATCGGCTACCAAGACACCTGGTCCTGATAAAAAGGCGAAAATGAATACTCCTAAAAAAACTGGTGATTTTCATGTTTTCTGCTATTATTATTTTCCCACCTTTAATTAAACTTGAATTTTCTAATCTTCCACCACTCCACCCCCTCCCACTTTTCTTCTGTTCCCGTTGGAATTTTCTCATCCCAATACTATAAACTAGCACCGCCCTTTCACAGCGAGTAGTGACCTGCTCCTCCTGTCTTCTTTTACTTTCCATGCTCTGGTATTTTAGTTGATGATTCTGGTAGACTGTGTATCACACCAAGTCGTTAATTAAATATGTGGGGGCACTGACACGTTAATTTATTGTACTTGAAAAGAATATGTTTGGTATGATTGATTGTGCTCATAAATTTATGTCAAATGGTTTGTAAACAATATTTATGGACTACAGTTGAAGTTGTAGTTGTCAATGCTAGTGGTGTTTGTTTTTGGTGGGATTGAGTATTACCTGTTGTTGGTGCAGATGGGAAGAAAGTTGCTCATGTAGCTACACCTCACCCTTCAAAACAGGCTGATAAAACTCCTGCGATGAAGTCAAATCAGCAGACTCCAAAATCGAGTGATGTAGTTTCCTGCAAGTCTTGCAGCAAGTATGTATCTCTCTTGGTTCTTTTTGTTCTTTCTAAAATGTTATAGAAACTATGGAGCTCAACCTTTTCCTTGCAGGACATTTGGTACGGAAAAAGCACTAGAATCCCATACGAAGGCTAAGCACTCGGCTGGAAAGTAATAGGTATTTGAAAAGAAATTTGGAAGTCCTGCTTCAATTTTGTCACCATGCTTCGTATGAATTGAAGGCTAGTTTTGTAGTTGGTTTGTAGTGGTTGAGCACAATGTAAAATCATGACGTTGTTTGTTAGTTATTACTTTATGTTCCCCTTTGACTTCTATGTCAACTTGCTTTAGGTTTTACTTCAGTTAAATTCACCAGGGGTGGATTAATTTTATTTTTTTTCCGTCTGGATGTTTGAATCATTAATTGGCAATATAATTGATAGTAGTTATCCCTCTATGTTTGACTTTGCGTTATTCCTGTTGTTCCAAATGTTAGATTTTGAGTGACTTCGGCCTCCTTATAGTAGTACTATAGTTAGTTATGTAAAGAGTATATATGAGATGATAGAAATAGAATGATGGAGCCAAGGTACTATCATGATGAAGTGAAGGTATTGTATGACATTATCGCTTGTGGAATCATGAGGGGTTGGTTGATGGAAATACAGATTCAGATCGTTTTTTGGTACACCTCCGTTAAATTTTATTTTTTTTTTGATGGTACACTGTGCACTGGTATGGTTGAGAGATCAACTTATAAGTAGTGAATCTTATTTGTATAAAGTTACTGTTTGGTGTATTTTTGAATTGCGTGACTAAGCTTGATTAGATTTAAGATCTAAGCAAGTACAATTTTACCTACTTGAATACGTGTGGAGTTTTTAAATTATGATTGTTCAGGCACAAGATGTAAGTTTGTCTCTCAGTTTTCTTTGCTTTGGGGATTAAGGATTTAAATAATTTTCAATTGATAATGTAATAGATTAGAATGTATAAAGACAACTAAAATGTAATGTACTAGAGAGACTAAACTTGGTAGATGAAAAGATTATTGTATTTCACATTAAACGGAAAAGAAAATCACTAGAGTGATAAATTACGGGTTGAAGTTAAAGAAAGAGAGGATGGAGTGATAGATTACAGGTTGAAGTAAATTTGTTAAGAAATAAACTAAGTTAAAGAAAGAGAGGATGGTTTTATGTAGAGTTGATGGTCTTGCTTTGTTATCTATAGGAGATATCCCATAACTGCTGAAGTCATATTTTTGAGCCATAAGTGTAATCATGTTCTCTTCTCCCAAGATATATAGACGTGCACCGAACCATCTCTAGACGATGGTTCATAATGTTACGTTTTTCATTTTTTGGGATTTTTAAAGTTTCACTTCCTTGATTATCCTGTTAGACTTAGATTATCACTGACTCTTTGTTGAACATTAGATCATTTTCATGTATTAGTCTTAGATTTTGCTAATTTTAAGTATAAACAATTACTTGAATTCGTTGGAGATGATTTATCATTAAAATAAATTAAGGAAAAACTGCATTTGATCATCACATATTTGGTTGACCGTTATAGTTGTTCCAGAATAATCAGACTTTAGTCTTATCAAATAACGGGTAAGCTGGGATGCAGGTTTTTTTCATTCTCTTGATGGAGTCAGTCCTATATCATAATTTCAACCTTTATTTATGAGTGATAATTTATTATTTAACAAAATTAAGAAAAACTTATTAGAGAAGATCTAAATTCCAAACATGTTTTTCTTAGAAATTAAATTACATTTCAAAATGACTATCCCCACCCCATTATTGTTGCCTCATGGACCTCCTGTAAATTTACTGACCCGCACAAAAGGTTGCTAAGCTTGCTTTAGGCAACCCGGTTCAGGTGGATACTGATCTACCTATTGCCAACTGTATAGACTCTTCGGGCATATTTGGATGGTTTTGGGTAGGAGGATTGTTTTTTAATTATATGTGACCCACAGATTAATTATACCTTTCCTAAGTCAACATCAAGCTTACAATAATAAGGGATTGTTTGTTTGATTGGTTTGGGTGGATTTAGAAGGGTGTGTCTAAGTAAAATAGTTTCATATACCACTTAACCCCATATTTGGTTAAAAAGTTTAAACTTGAGATTCATATCCCGACACCTAATCGACCTGGACAATTTAACCCTTGGGGGTGGGTTTGAAATCAATCAACCTAGGATATAATGGTAAAATGACTTTTCTATCCCTAATCTATGCAATTACAAAGGATTGGATAGGGCAGTTTAGTTAATTAGATGACAAAAAGATTGGTTATAAGAAAGGTTATGGATCCACCCCCGCCCGGCCATTGCCAGTGGTTACGATCTCATAAGACGGCTAGTCAGCTTTGATAAAGGATGGGCACTTGATGCATAAAATTTGCATTCTTCTAATAGGAAATCATCTAATCCCTATCGAGTGTGATACGTACGACACTGCATATAATTCATTAATTCATTCATGGGAGAACGCTTCAGTCTTCATCCAGTCTTGAATAGAATGGTTTTTTTTTTTGGCTTGTGAAAGAAGGATAGAAGGGGGATCACTACATGTGAAATTCCTTCCAAGGTGCGACTAAATAAAAAGAACTCACAAGCACTTCTTAAGAACGACCTTAACTAGGCCCAGCTCCACTAAACTATCAAATACAATCCTCTATTGCCGGTAAATCAGACATGAGACATAAACTTTATGCTCTATTTGATATGATGAAAAAATAGAAGGATAGAAAATTGGAAGAATAAATAAAATATCATGTTTGGTAAGGATGTAAAAATGGATGGATTAACTTTTTTTTTAACTCACAAAAATCAATCCTTCCAAAATCGGAAGGAAAGTGGATGAAAAGTTAATTATTCGTGTTGATATGTATCTTATTTGTCTATTTATTATGTATACATTAATTTCATATAACAATATAATGATAATATATATATATATAATTAAAAAAATTAAAATTAATCAAATTTAAAATTTTTATTTTAATTTTAATTAAAAATATATATTTGTTTTCATCTTAACACGATTACACAACTCGAACTTGACACGAATTTTATGATACGAACTTGATTATAACTCGACATGAACTTAAAAATGATCTGACACGCAAACAAAAAAATATAAAAGACTTATAATTTTATAACTCAACACGAATCTGACATGATACAACTCGATTGTCACTCTTAATATTAGAAAAAAAAATTAAAAAAAAATTTGGCCATTTTTATTTTCGATCAGTCCAACCAAACACAAACAGGATTGTGTATCATTCCTACTTTCTATTCTTAAAAAATAGAAAATTTATTCCTCCTACTTTCTATTCTTAAAAGATATAAAATGTATCTCTCTCACTTTTCATCCTTCTTACTTTCCATCTTTCCCACCAAACAAAGCATTAATAGCTCAGCCAAGACCCTTAAAAGGGCGTTAAGTGCCGTTGGACCACTTGGCTTGGTGGATGGATTTAAAAGTCACATATATGGAAATACGTACGTTCGAGAAAGAGAAGATAACTTGGTGCTAAGACATGTCACTGTGGGAAAGAGTATGGTAGTTAAGCGAACTTATCTCTAAGAAGGTTAATGAGGGTAGAACTATGGACGGTACAACTTAATATCAACTGAAAACTATGGTATTACCAAGGATCAAAATGTCGTGTCGAAACGTCCGAAACGTTTCGGAATTTCAATACTCCGAAACGAAACAGTAGTTGAATCACAAAATTTCAGTGTTTCGGTCGAAACGGTACTGTTTCGGACCGTTTCGGTCGAAACGGCATTGTTTCGAACCGTTTCGGTCGAAACGGCATTGTTTTGAACCGTTTCGACAAAACAGTGATATATTCGGTTCATTATGAATAATTACATTTAATACCCATTATAATTACATTTAATACCCACTGTAATTACATTTAATACTCACTATAATTATATTTAATATCCCACTATAATTACATTTAATTCCCACTGCTCTTCTGTCTTTTATAATTTTTTTGTTATAAGAATAAATAATTACACTTAATACCCTACTATAATTATATTTAATACCCATTATAATTATATTTAATACATACTGTAATTATATTTAATACCTCACTGCTGTGCAAGTTTTTTGCTTTTTTTTTTGTTATAAGTATTAACAATTACATTTAATACCCTAATGTAATTATATTTAATACCTACTGTAATTACATTTAATACCCATTGCAATTACATTTAATTTTTAAGTATACATAAGTATCATTAATTTAATTTGATACCCTTAATTATTAGTATTATAATAAAATAGTATTATTAATTGGATTATATTACCGTAATAATATGATTTGGAGTAACTATTATCATCATATTTATGTCACATATGGAGTTTCTCTAAGTAGCTACCCAGAGTCTACACCGATGTATGAGCCTGCTCGACACTCCACAGGGGAATGGATGTAACCATGTAAGTATGTACTCATTAGCATTTCATGTGTATTATAAGACCTTAATATTATGTAAAAATGTGTTTATTTCATAAAAATTAAGTGTTTGAAACTAATTTAAGTGACTTTCGCCTCAAGTCAAGCCTTTTTTTCTCTCAAATTTAAATTTATTCTTGTATAAATTGATGTTAACCTAATAAATATGTTGAATTAATAAATTATTTAGCATATCTTTATAAATTAATGGATTGCATTTGTGTTTCTATGCGTTTCCATATTTTTTCTGCGTTTCCATTGCGTTTCCGAAATGTTTCCGAAACGTTTCTATTTTTGAGTTGACCGAAACGGTACTTCGAAACGAAATTTTGATCCTTGGGTATTACCAAATTGCACCAACAAATAGAGAGGTGCACATCACAAAGTCAATACGACAGCCATCAATTAGATACCATTCGGGCCGAACAAATATTGGCCCTTGAGTGCACTCTGAGACCCAGGCCGAACGAAGATTGGCCCTCGCGTGCAGACTATAAGACCCATCCGTCGAGCAAAGACAAATGTCGGCCTTAGTGACCAACAGTGCCAGGTGAAAGGGCCGTCACTCAACAAATAAAAGTTACTTGTATAATGGACTAATCTTCCAAAGAGCTTATATCAATGGAAAGGTTTAACACTCTATTATGTTCTAAGGGTTGGGCTGTTAGTACACACTTGCTCATTTTGGCCATATATTTCAGGACGGCCTTTCCCATTCCACAAGCAGCAATTAGCCCTCAAAATATCAGGAGGCTGGCCTACACATTGTTATTATGCCTACAGCATATTTGCACAACTGAAATAAATGCAATCTCAACAAAAATACAAAACATCCATTGCATTTCCTCCTAATTTTTAAACTACAGTTTGTTTAGAAAAACATAAACACGACACATGGTGCACACAATAAAACCTGTTCTCCAGAACAAAGGCCTGGCACAAAACATCACTCTAGCAAATAAACTTTGTCTACTTTGTTAGGCGGCTTCCTTCAGTTCTTCCACCACGTAGCATTTAAATCCTGTAAACTTGCTCTGCAGATAAGACAGCCGACCTGTATACAAATATGATTGTGAGCTGCCATAAAAAAATGAGGCTCGATCCCTGGAAGCAGGAATACCTGAACCTGCAAAACTTGTAAAAATGTGTTAAGTTCACAAATGCCTACAAAAGAAACTGTAATAATGGTGAAATAAAAACTCATTCTTATCTTGTCCGAATGGATTATCAACTCCCCTATCATTTTACTGTATCATTACTTGGTCTCGAAATGGCTGCTAACAAAGATATTCACACTATTTCACATGAAAATATCTGAGAACTCTTATCTCCATGCTCCTATGAAACTGAAATAGCTGGAAAAGAAACTCAGGTTGTAAAATATTTCGGCTTAAAAATCCTTGTGAAACAAATACGTACTGTGTTTTTTACTGGTAAAAGAGTGGCTTACCAAACTAAAGATGTTAAAAGTAACCCCAACTAATGAATATTCTTCCCACCATGCTCCAGAAGCAATTTATCCTCATCAATACGCTACATAGCATGCACTCTCAGTTCATGTCAAGATTTTTGCAGAGTATAAAACTTTCGTAAAAAATGGCAACATTTGACCCATGTAATTTTAAGATGCTGCATTTTGAAAACTAGACTCTTGACAACGTTTACAAGAAGTTCTGGAATAAACATAAGCATGAGTTACAAGATCAGAGGACAATAGAAAAAATATATCACTTAGAAGAACAAAAACTGCAGTCACTTAGAAAAAGGTGAACAATGGAGCAGAAAATGAGTTTAAAAACTGTGAGGGTCATGATGCATGCATTCAGGTGCTAAGTAGGCTTGGCCCTATCTACTCTCGCTAAATCCATTTTCAGTTCCTTTAGAGAATGGGTGGAAGAAAGGAAGAAAAAGGGTTTTTTTTTGGCATTTTTCATTATCATGGGATAGTGGACCTGTACTCCACCTGCACAGTGGAAAGTGGGCAGTAAGCCAAATTTTCCAAATGGGCTGTTTTTGCAAAGGAAACTTGCATTTTACTTTTAAAATTAACAAAGAACATTTTCTATCAAAGAAGGGCAAGAGAACAAACCCAACAATGCCACTTGGATCAGGTATAACGTCCATGCTCCTGCTGGTACTGCGGATCATCATAGGACTGCTCTCCATTCTGCACAATGGCATTGTTAGGGCTATCATGGTTACTAATAGCATCATTCTTGTTGGCAGATTCTCCCTGTTCCCTTTCCCTATTCCATTGCTCAATTTTTGCCCTTCTCTCAGCACTGCCTTCCCTGACTGGACTCCTATTTCTCCTTCCCCCAGGACTTCTGCTTCGTCCACCCTTACGTCCAGGACTCCTGCTTCTTGGTCTCCTACCCCTATCATGGTGGCGATGATCTCTGACATCACCACCTCTTCTACCAAAACCACGGCCACCATGTGGACGCTCCTCATAATTGCGACGGCGATGAGGACTATGACTTTTGCTCCTGCTGCGGCTGCGCCATCGCCTATTCCTCCCAAATAACTGCCGCCTCAGCTCTCTAAATAGGAGAACGCAAATGCATCACTCACCATCTTATACAGTAGTTAAGAAAGATGCATAACAGATAAATGAGGAAGGAATTATACTCTGAAACTCACCTGCTTATCTTTTTCAGATGCATGAAGTTGCAGTAGCCACCTCGATTGCACACATTTTCCTCATACTGCCTACAAGTAGCTTCACGAAAATCGGTCACCGGAGAGAAGTCAATGATAATGGGGCGCCCTACAGATTTCAATTTTCAGAGGGTGAGATGGTTGCAACTAACAATATATCTTTATCGTTACATCACTATTATAACTGTTATCACCGAGAACTGTTAATTATTAGCAACTGAGGAATTCAACCCAGTGAACATGTAAGAGATCAATAAGATCTTGGATACACAGTCACACTTCCTGCAATAACTAAGTCCTCTGTGTTAGCAGGTTTGTTCCATGAGAAAACATACTATAATTAGCATCATTCACATGGTTGTATGCCTACTAACTTCCACAATTCGCTATTTTATCAAGCTCCATTTGTTTTAAGTGTGAAAAATAACACATATGTCATGCATGATATATGCTGAAGGCAAACATCAATGACTTCGAATATGCTGAAGACGAACATCAATGACTTCAACGACTCTGAATACAACTCTGGATTTTCTACAATTGTCCCAACAAAAAACTAATGAATTCCATATCACAATTCTATCCACATCCAGAACTGCATATTCAGCTAAATAACAGGCTGTCATAACATCTACATCAATGCCTCACCCAGATTCCATTTGGACGGCCGATTATCTTTATTGCACTTCTAAATTGAACAAAATAGGAACAGCCATACACGAAGGCACAGGGATGCTTTATTAGTTTTTACTGCATCAAGAAAGGTGATGGTCGTGGGTCATATTCCTAGTGAACTATCTTCATCTTCATGACGGCAACAAGTTTGAAATCTTATCTAAAATAACAAAGACAATACGAGAAATCCTGCCATCAGATCCAAATAGGAGTTACCAGCAGCAGAAACAAATCCAATTTTCATTTTTCACTATATCTAGCTCAAACTCCGTCACATATGCATCCATTGTCAATAATTAATAATACATATAATAAATCACGTTGTCCCAGTATAGCAATGCCTAATTTAAACTATCATGCTGGCAAGAAATTATATTTCAATTATAAATCAACAATCGTGCCCTCATAACAATATTTGACTCAAAATATTCGGGAAGAGAAGCCAGTACAAATCTGTAAGTATACGTCTGAACAGTCATGCATATACTTGTGCGACTGTGCCTGCATGTAAATATGCAGTACTAACCCGCATAGAATCTTCCAGTCAGATTCTGAAGTGCAGTAGCAGCATGTTCCTCCTCTCTAAACTGGGCGTACACATTACCCACCTGCTCCAAATAGAAGAAATTCGCATGTAACACACAATTAAATGAACAAATCTGAAAAAACAGACAAAATAAAGGAAGATATACCATGTGGTCAGCCAGATTATCACATATGTTCAGGCTCTCAATCTCTCCATACTTGCTCAGCTCCTCAAACAAATCTTCATAAAAATCCTGCATTTTGATACAACTGTTGCACTTCAGACCAGATAAAAAGCAGTTGCTTTCTCCAAACTTTTAGGAATTAGAAAGAGTTCAAAAACAATCTATCCATAGCCATATAACCCCCTGTGGACCAGAAATTACAAAAGATACAACGCTCTCAATTCTGCAAAGTGGTATAGAAATAATTGTGCACAAAATATAGAGAGAACAATGAGGATGATCTCTTCAAATTCCAATAACTTCAAAATCAAATTCCATAAATACTCTGATTGCTAATAAGACAGCCAAAAAGTTACGAATTACCAAGAGTACCCTAACAGATTAGGGGTACAAGTAATCTTGTGCACCACTTGCACAAAACTGAAGTCTCAAATCCAGAGTGTTGCACAAAAAATAGAGGGAATAATGATCATGACCCCCCCTTTTTTTTTGGTCAATATCATGACCCCTTCAAAGCACAATAACTTCAACATCAATCTCTGTAAATACTCTAATTTGCTAATAAGACAGCCAAGAAGCTACGTATAACCCAGAATATCCAGGGGGATACTGGGTGCAAGTAACCCTGCGCACTACTTGCAAAAGAACTCAAGTTTCAAACCCCAGAGTATTTTAATTATTATCAAGGCTAACAAATTCCCTTCTTATATTTGTCAAAAGATTTTCCGCAAACAAACAAAGAGATGAAAAACTATAGTATCAAAACGAATTCATCAGGTAACCAAATAACTATTTCTAGAATAAGCACAAAATCAATTTAAAAGCACTGTGTTCCAATCAATAAACAACAAAAACAATACTCAGCTACCCTAAACAAAGTTTCATATAGATAGAGAGAATGGTTTGTATGGATATAGACCTCGAAATGGGATTGAATCTTTTCAGGATCGAGAGGCTGGCCTTGAGGATCGACGCCGGGAGTGATCATATCAGGACGCTGATACATGTTGGAAAGCAAGAGAGTTGGGCTGATGCTAGGCTTGGTGTGGAGTCTCGAGCATCGATCTCCATGCCTGCACGCACCGATCTTGAAGTAGAAAGGACAGTTCACTCTGTCCTTCTCCGTTCCGAAGATCGAAGCTAAGTGCTCCGCCATTTGAATCGATCCAATTCAAGGTCTCACGCAGTCTCTGTGTTCGCGATCTAGGGTTTCTGAGCTCCGATTGATTTGGGGTTTATATACGACAGAAATTTGTTAAAAGAGGGCACCGTCAAGGGCAAAAAGTCATTTACGTAAATTATGATATATATCTATATATATATTCTTTCAGCCCTTTAAGAATCCAAAGCTGGTTTGCCCGAGAGGTTAAGGGGGAAGACTTAAGATCTTCTGCACATAAGTGCGCATGGGTTCGAACCCCATAGCCAGCAAGTTTAGACTTTTTTAAATAGTTATACACACTTCGATACTTTTTACTTAAAGCAAGTACTTTTTTCTTCTTTGTTTTTTGTTGGCAAACACTATTAAATGGAAAAAAGACAACAAGGTTCAAAGCCGTGACCTTAAGATCTAATAATGAGATAGTAGACATTAAGTCAACCGCTAACCTCAAGTAAAATAAATAACTGGCTAGAGTCCTATTGATTAATGAAAGAAAGGGTTTATGAAGCCCTAGTGCTCAAAGACTTTTTTTTTTTTGTTGGTTCACAATCTACATAAGGTTCTAGTCTTGTTACTTTATATATAAGACTCAATTGATCTCTTGATCAAGTCTTAACAAGAAATATTTTAAGAAAAGACAAGAAATCATTTGAATCCGAGGTGAAACCTTCACGTCCGATTCAGAGGGTGGGGATACTCTAATCTTACTATCATTATGCCTTTGCAATGTTACTTAGTTCAACTTTATTTGTGACCTCTTTCTCGTATGTGGGGCTCTTTATCTTCTTAGGTAGATAATTAATTGTCTTTTCATTTAGAGAGTGAATTGTTTTTATAAAATTAAGTTAAGTCAAGACCAATAATTGAACTAGAGGAACTTGTCTTAGATAGCTTGAGAAGTTTTAGACAAATGTGTTATTGAGATATTGACCCTTATGGTATCTCGTACACATTTTCACAATTGATCGAGTGAATAAGTCAACTTCAACAAGTTCACCTATTCCAAAGAGGTGCATTCTTCCCTCTAGAACCTTATATTATATCAGAATCGGACCAGTCATCGAATCGACAAAGAGATTGAATTATTGGTTCATTGCTTCAATTGTTAAGGTAACTAGTTGGACTAGTCGTATAATAAAAAAATATAAAATATAAATGCTTAACTATTAACTATTTAACTTATATTCAATTATTCATATATAACTTATAAAAAATTATAAAATATAATGATTGTTAAATGTGTGTGTATTAACTATTAACTATTTAACTTATATTCAATTATTCATATTCATTGTATGACTGCCCAAAAAATATTGACTGTGTGTGCGTGCGTGTAGAGAGAGAAGAAAAAAAAAGAAATAAAGAAGGAAGCCACATCAAGCATATGAGAGAGACAGAAAAAGAAGACCCAAGAAGCCATTTTTTCCTTCATTTTTGTGGGGTGTCTGTGTGGAGGGAGAGAGGAGAAGAAGAAGGCTTACACAACTTAGGAGATCTAGATCTTTGGTGTTTATGTTGGGCTTTTGTGGAGTCTTGTTGTGTTTAATCTGGATGATATTTTGACCCAAAATAATGTTGCGTGTTTTTAATTGGAGATTTTTTAAGATTTAATTCATGGAGCGAAGACTTGGCCTGTTTTGTAGCTCTGTGCGTATGATATATAAAAATCTTTATTTTTGTGATTAAGGTTTTTTGATATAGTTTTGAAGGGATAACCGTACTCTCTATTCATCCATAATAATAGTGAAATTTCTGCAGTTTCATGGATATAGACAAATTGTCGAACCACGTAAATACTATCCTTGTGCATGTGATTGTTTTTTTTAGTCGTGTGTTTTCTCTAATTTTATTTTTCACAAGTTTAAAAATTTCGTGTAAATTTCCTAACAATTTGAAATCTAGATCTACGGTGTTCGCCATTGTTGAAGACGGAGAAGACAAAGTGTGGTGTTCGCTATTGTTCATCTAGAAGGAGACGGAGCAAATGAAGGCGGAGTCTTAAGCTTTGAAGGCCGGTTTTAAGAAATTTTAGTTCATCGGTTTTGGCATAAATTGGCCAATTTTTCGATTCTTCAATGATTCCATTCCTTGTGTTGTCTAACTAACTAAAGAGCCAAACCGTTTTAAGTCATGATTCAACTAGTTGGTCCGATTCAATTCTGATGACATCAATTTTATGTCATAAAATTTACTAGAAAAAAAGAAGGGGAAACATATTACAATATTCCATTTATTGGCGTTTATTTTTATCCCTTGCTCTTAATTTGAGAAGAATTTCTCATCGACGAAGTGCTCATAGAGGTCTTTATACGTGGAGGCAAACGCCCCATTTTATCTTAAATCTTGAACGAAAGCATGGAGTATTCCTCCTAATAGAAGTCGTTGATAGGGATGTCACATGGAACAAACATGTTCAAAGTTTTTGATCTTCCGTGGCCATGTATAATAAAGCCAAATTTCAGGAGATAAGGAAACATGGCGCAAGTACTATGAAAAAATAATGGCCCACTCATCAGTATGAAAAGAGAGATTGAAGAGAGAATACTTACTCCTATAGCTGCCATCAAACACTGGAACCTAAAACAGACTTCTCAAACTTCCACAAAACCAAAATCACTAAAAAGTTTGTAATAACAAACATCCCATTTCCTGATAAGATAAAAACATATCCATCGATTCTTAGGTTAGAAAACATACTCTGCCTTCAAAAACCTTCGGTTCGGGATTCTTAAACCTTGGCACAAAATTTTTGACAGTGATTATTAGAGAAAGGCCTCTGATCTCCAGTGACCATGCTTATTCCTTGCAAGTAAAGACTCGATTCTTTACGAACATCTCTGAATCAGTTCATCAGTAGGGTTCAACTGGCACGCGGAAGCTTGCTCCAGCGTAAACTGCTTCCGAACCAAGTTCCTCTTCAATTCGCAAGAGCTGGATGCCATGAAAGAACAACGGAATGCTTAATAAAACTATGCTTATAGGTTATAACACTTTCTTGAATTCCAAATCAGAATAAAATAGTTGGTGCATGTGAGAAGACAAGAATCTCAACCTGATTGTACTTTGCAAGACGCTCCGACCTGCATGGAGCTCCAGTCTTAATTTGACCCTGGCAAGTGGAAAATGACGAATAAACAATGTCAGTAAAATGATCAAAAGGAACATCCTACAAATAACCCCAGGATCCAAATCAAGAAGTACCGTGGCCAAGCCCACAGAGAGATCAGCAATAAAAGTGTCCTCAGTCTCTCCACTGCAACCCAATAACCAACTCAGATTAAAACATTGGAGACTGAAATTCTCAAAAATAGTGCAACAAGATGGATTAGATTGACATCTACTGTGTTTTCAAGTTAATTTTCACACCTGCGGTGGCTGGCCATCACACCCCAACCAGCCTGCTTGGACATTTTAACAGCCTCAATGCTCTCAGTTACAGATCCAATTTGGTTAACCTGTTGTTGCCAAAACAAAACATATGAAAGGGCAATCCAATTGCATTTCTGGTATATAATGGAGATGAAAGTTCCAATGTTTTACAAAAACATCAACTGAAGATTATTCAATGATACCTTAAGAAGCAACGCATTGCAAGATTTCTCCTTGATTGCCTTCGCAACTCTCTGTGAACGAAGGCTAAAAAATTAGACAACGAAAATTTCCGAAAAAGCATTTATATACAACTAGCCTAGTAAGTCTATGTTCTTGACCTTTGTCAATATATCTGCATAAGAAAGACAAACATACATATTAGAAGGAGCCACTCTACCTTGGGATTGGTGACCAATAGATCATCTCCCACAATTTGTACTTGTTCACCGATTTCACCAGTTAGCTTGGCGTAATGCACCCAATCATCTTGGTCAAATGGGTCTTCAATTGACACAATCGGGTACTCTGACACAAATGACTTGTACACATCTTTAAGCTGATCCCCCGAAATCTTCTGTGATCCATCATTTTTCTGTAAAAAAAAAAAATTAATGAAAAAGCAAAAAAAATAGAATATCTTGATCAAATTCTTTTGAATAATACTTAAAAATTATAAGGATATCTTTTTTATCAGCACTGCTTGGATAATCAAATTGGTGCCACAAACATTTTTATAGATTGTGGAAGTATAGATCTTACTTTCAAATGAAATGAAATGCTCACATAACATTTGATTATGTATTTTAATTTTAATGTACTTTTTTGTGCTTGATCTAATGAGAGGAATGAGAATTTATAAGATTGATTGTATAGAACTGCAAGATTTTCAAAGCTAACGAAGCTTAATGGTTTGAAGATTCATGCATAGCACATTCCTAAGCTTCAGAATTCAGGAAACATTGAGCAACCAAAGGGCAATGCTACACTAACGCACAAGAGAAGGACAAGAGACAAGCAAGGTACATCATTATTGCACTTCAGTGACTTCTTGAAATTGGGCAACTCTCAGTAGATGTTCACTAATCGACCTTTGATTTAAGTATTTTGTGCTCTTACTGCCAGGTAAAGAAAGCTGAAATTTTGAACAGCTACATACTTCTGAAAGTATAGAATACTAGTTCCATTAATACCATTGCTATTAAATAAGAGAGACAAGACTAGTACTAACTCATGATAGAAATAAAATCCCAAAAGCAAGCTTTTGCAACAAAGAAGCCGCCATGAAATGTCAACTCAAATATTGCATTATGGCTTGTAAACTTTGAGATGTTGCCAATATTCTCATTGTCTTCAACTCTTCATTAAAATTTGAGTTTTTTAGTTAGTTACATAATTAGCCCTCTCACTGTGCTCTGTTTGCCACTGAAAGCCAAACAAAACTCAAAATTCTATCCCTTATTTTAATTACGACTGAAACTTGTTGGGTGTTTCTCGGGTTTTAAGTAGAAACTTTCATCTATTTTTTGTGTTTTTCAACTGAAAACTTTAATTCCTTCATCAAAACTCAAAAGTGCTTATCCTTATGTGGAGAGTCGAATGTTTTAGGGGTTCAATTCGAAAATTCAAGCATTGCAATCGAGTAGAGCTTCAGTCACCACTAAATTTACCTAAAACTATACCTCTTCTTTGAAGTTCAGATCATAGGTCTTGTCTGTTCCGTAAAATTCAGATGCAGCAACATCCATTCCAATAACAACCTACACAGAAGGAAATTCTCAGCTCTTCATGTCATCTTGCAACCAAGAGAGAGAGAGAGAGAGAGATAAGGCATTAGGGAACTCACTTTGCCTGTGTAACCAGCCTTAGCAATTGCTGTCTTAAGCAACTCAAGGCCCTCTTTGTTCTCCTGAAAAACATATAACATGATGCTGTGAGTAAAACTACTGAGAACATTCAAGCAGAGAGAGAGGGGAGGGAGGGCAACCAAATGCTATTATAAATGATGTTTGACCTGAATATTTGGAGCAAAGCCACCTTCATCACCAACATTTGTTGCATCCTGCCCATATTTCTTCTTGATCACAGCCTGAAATTTGACTATATAGTTAGTGAGATATAGACATTGTAGAGCAGGTTCATTTTTCAATGACATGCTAAAGAAAAGAAATCAAAATGAAATATCATGGACTATCTAAACATAAATACTATATAATTGTGCAGGGAAATGTCAAATCTGCAATGGAGTCTAAAGTGGTCCACTTCTGTTGCGATTCATATGTACAGTAATAACAAAATAAGAAGGCCTTAGGTTGAGCCCCGTTGCAGTGCACGGGGCAACATGCCTCACAGATTATCATGTCCACAATTTCATATGTTGATAGTATGCAAACCAATTAATATTTATTCAAAAAGGACTGCCAACAGCAAGCGATCAATTTTTGAAATTTCATAAATGGTGCCATTTTATGGTGGGTCCCAAGCTTCTGAGGTGGACAAATTCCATCTTGAGCTGACATAAGAAGGGCCTCTATGCTTATTTCAACATCCTGGTATCTACCAATTCTAAATAATGAACTCCATTAACTAAGTTCCTAACAAATCATTCATGATTGGCCAGATCATTAATATAGTATTAAAAATGACTAAGCTGTAAATCATCATGCAGAAAGCTGAAGGGAGGGAGGGGAGTGGAATATACAACCCACCTTCAAGTGGTGATATACTTCCACACCCATCTTCATGGCCTCCTTAAAAGTGGAAGCTCCAACAGGAAGAATCATAAATTCCTGCCACCAAAAACTTATGAGAATCTCAAATTCAAGACACGTCACAAGCACTAAAACATCAACGTTATATCAAGAGTCATACCTGCATAGCAAGTTTGTTTCCTGCATGTGATCCACCATTGATGACATTGAAAGCAGGCACAGGCAACACCAACTTCTTGTTACCGGCGAGGTTGGCAATATGCTGCATGCAGAAAGAGAGGTCATATCAGATCTTAGTTTTTAAAAACTCAGAAAATTCCTAAACCTTTATTCTTAAGTTTTCACGGAATCCTAACAGAAACTTAGTCTTACAGCCACAAGAGGAGGACAGATAGGCCTGTATTAAGAAACCTGTAAGTCACAAGCTTCATCTAGACGAGCCAACATTCTACAGGACTAAGTACTCCAAAGAATCTGAGAAACAATTATAGTGCCATTCTACGGATAAAAATGTTACATGCATGCTTGAAAGAATTCTAATAGAGAAAAATGGAAGAAAATGAGCACGGTCTGTAACCAAACATAAAACATAGCAATGACATACCTTGTAAAGAGGAATATTCTGGACACTAGCACCAGCTTTGCATACAGCAAGAGACACTGCCAAGATGGCATTTGCTCCCAGCTGAAAAACCACAATTGGCAAAATGGTGAATATCCTTCATAAGAAGTGTGAGGAAATACACAAAATCAATATAGTAAAATACCTTTTGCTTGCACCAGCCCCACTCATTTTGAGTTCCATCAAGTTGTTGGACCATGAAGTTATCAATACCAGTCTGGTCAGTTGGGTCCTGCAACAACAATACAACTTCACTTCAGATGGAGGAACCAATCAACCCAAAAGTTCCAAAAACTTGAAGACAAATCTAATTAGTTCGTTAAAAATCAATAATAAATTCTAAAAAAAAACCCCAAAAAAGGGAAGTTGATGAATCGAACCTTGCCAATGAGAGCAGGGCCAATAATTGAGTTAACATTATGAACAGCCTACATGAGTAATAAACCAGATCAATAATGGGTATTTGAATTTGAAGTGGAATAGCAGAATGAATTGCAAAGCCACAACTTGCCTTAGAAACACCTTTTCCAAGGTATTCTGACCCTCCGTCTCTCAGTTCAAGGGCTTCATAAACTCCTATAAACAAGAAGAAAAAAAGAGATAAAATTAAGCATCATACAATTTCACAGATAGACATAGAGAAGAGGAAACGAGATCTTACCAGTGGATGCACCACTTGGAACAGCGGCTCTTTCCTTCTTACCATTTGATAGACACAAATCAACCTACATGCATCCAAAGAAAAATTAGTTGATACTTCAAACCGTCGATGGCCCAGAAGTTGCAAACAGATCACATAGGTTTTGAAATCAAATGCCTAAACTAGGAGAACAAATTGAGAGAAAGATCTGAGTTCGAGATCGAACCTCGACGGTTGGATTGCCTCTGCTGTCGAAGATCTGACGTGCCTTCACGGACTGGATCGTAGCCATGGATTAGTTCAGATCTGATACTAGCTCACAGAGAGAGATGGAGAGATTAGTACGAGGCTGCGATTACTTGAAGAGTGGCTTCGAGAATTGGGAGTTGGGAGTGACGATACTCGTAGTATATGTAGAGGATATTAGCTTAATCATGGCCGTTGATAGCGTGATTAGATTTAGTGCGGATGCATGATCTTAGGGTGTCAAAATTTAAAATAAAAAAAATGAAAATTAAATATTAATAAAAATTGAATTTTATTAAACATGAGTAGTGTACTCTCACTAAATTCTATTTTTCTTCTAATTTTAAATTATTTAATAATAATTCATAAATAGTTTCTTCCAATTGAATTCTTCATATAACCACTTTTAGCTTTTTTTTTTTTCTAAAGTATGAAATTTATCTTATTTTGATCTTAAATATTTCAATTGTACTATTTTGGTTCTTGAAATATTGAATATATTTTTATATAGTCATTTAAACAGATAATGTTCAGATTACTAATGATTTGTTATCATAAATTTATCGTGTAATAGCTAAATATGGATAAAAAATAATTTTGATAACTCTTAAACAAAATTTAGATAGTTCTTGACAAAAAAATGTGTAATATAGGTAATTTGTAACTAAAATTTAGATAGTTTATGATTAAAATTTTGTAATTTAAGTAGGTATTTAACTAAAATTTGAGTAAAATTTGGTCAAAAGTTATCCAAATAATTTTTTTGTTCATATTTAAATATTATGTGACAAATTTATAATAAAAAATCATAAGCAATCTAGATACTGTCTGTTTAAGGGACCATCTAGAAACATATTCAATATTTCATAGACCAAAATGATGCAATTGAAATATCAAAGACTAAAATAAGACAAATTCCATATTTTGGGAACCTCCAATATAATTAACCCAGCTTTTTGAATAATTACTTTGCATTAAAAATTTTCACTATTTTTATTAACTTCTTCACTTTTTATTTTTGTAAATATTAATTTAGTACATTAATACATAATTTTTTTTATAATGTTAGGATGAACTTGCAATAGAGGTGCTAAGAGAAAGTAGAAACATGAATGAGGGGGAAGAGATATTATAAAATTCATGCATTTGCATGAAACATCTGCTAGGTTCTATTATATACTAAACAAAAAATCATAAGATGATAAAAACGGTTTAAAGTCCGCTAACAGAGTCAATTCTGTAATATACGCACAATAGTCCATTTTTAATTTTTATTCTATGAAGAGTCTCAATGAAATTTTACTTTGCGATTCTGGAAGTCATACTTAATATTCATAGTTTTTCGTTAATGTATACTCAATTACTTAAAATTACAATTGCATCGACCCAAAAAAACGTTGTGACCAAGTGTCATTGAGTTGAGTTATAATGTATGTATTTTTATTTTGTAAAGCGCATTCACTGACTAATGTGACGATACTTGTAGAAATATCTTAATCACATTATGTAAAAATTCCATTTATAAAACACTTTCAGTTTGGATATATACATCTGGTGGGGACAAACATCCTTCAAACTGCTCTATTATGCAGCATTTGAGTTACTTGAGCAAATAAATAAATCAAAGCCCATTCATTGATACCGCGCATGATACTTTCCTCTCGGGCATGGTTTTGCACGTCACATACAACCAATTGTATCCAACAGTCAACTCTATGTGCTTCACCTGTTACACCTTGTTACGAAAGGGAGAATAGTACATTATATATATATTCAAAAACAATGTATCGCACATCCAAATTTTATAAATTTTGTATGGTTTAATACAAATTTTTGGGTTTGCCACAATGCAACTTTTAAGGTTTGCGTTACAAAATTTTTGGGCACAGTTCAAGTTTTCTCTAATATTTTACAGGGTATTCTCTTTTTTTCTTTTTTTCAAAGTCAATCGCTTGCACCTAAAAATATTAGGATTAGATCTAATATTTTTAAGATTGATCACGAGTTATCACAAAAATTATAAATAATCCTCAAAAAGGTATAAAAAAAATCACAAATTTTGAAATGGCAGTATGATGCCTAAATTTTTTTCTAGTATTGTAGACTTTTTCGACTAAAAGAATGTGTTTGATTTAATTTTAACTTGTTTAAAATGTAAGTATACTTTTTTTTTTTGGGGGGGGGGGGGGGGAAGGAATAGAGAAAAGGGACGAGGCTAGAACCCATAATCAACTTCATGGGATAATGAGCTCTTAGTACAAAGTCACTCCCACAACTTTATATATAAATGTTTATTTATTGGATTTTTCACACTTTACAACTTGAAAGATGTCTCTTGATTTTTATTTTACGCTTTAAAAGATTATTTTTCTTACATTGTACCATGAATGTCATAAATTTATTCTAATGCAATCCTCGGACTAACATCTGTTTCAAATTTTATTAAATTTTGATGCACACCCACGCAAGGGCGGAGGCAGGGGTGGGGGCAATTGCCCCCACTAAAATTCTAAAAATTTGTAAGGTTAATTTATAATTATAATGAAAAATTAATTTTTTAATAACTTGTCCTCAATCATTTTTTTTAATGCACTAAAAATTTAGACTCAAAGTTCGTTCATACTTCATAGAGACTTAATCTCACAATTTTTTATTTAATCTCTAGTTATCTTTATTCATTCTATAATGACTCACTTAAATTGCCGAATCAATCATTCTCCGAATTCGATTACTAAGACATACATATATATTTTTGACCAATTATCAAAGTTCAACTATATTACATCATTTTCTAAGATTTTAGATTTGGGCACATAAAAAAATTTGATCTAATTATGATTCAATTCAATTCACTTCGATCAAATATATTACATCATTTTCTAAGATTTTAGATTTGAGCGCATAAAAAAAATTTGATCTAATAATGATTCAATTCAATTTGATATGCATACACAAAAATGTATATGTAAACATTAAAAAAACTAAATAATTAAATTGAATTAAAATTACAATGTGACACACACACACATATATAAGATTGGATTTTTGATAAAATTCATAATATTTAATAGATTTGAATATAGATTAAAAAAAAGAAATCAGTTGAATAATTAGATTAGATTCAAAATAGGGTTTTCAAGACAAATTGTCATTCGGATGAGTCAAATTTTTATCATTGACAAGCACACTCACAAAATGATGTCAAAATCGCATTTTCCATGAAAATTGTCTTTATTCAAATGCTTTTAAAAAAATTATATTAATTTTTCTTAGTCAGCTATCATTTTTTCACGTATATTTATATGTGAAATCTTTGAAAGTAAAAAAAATAATATGAACAATTATTTTATAAAAGCGTTAGATTAAGAATTTTTTTTTTTATATAAAGAATGAAATTTTGAGATAATAATTATGTT